GGATGCTGTTTGGGGATTTCGCTCCTAAATCTCAGATTATTCTTCCCTCAAGCTGCTCGGCAGCTTCTTTATCAGCAGGTTCGCCGGAGAAAGATACAAACCAAACACGAACAGTTCCTCAGAAGCGCCATTGTCGCACGTGCTGTCGGTCTGCCGCATTCATTATGCGCCGCTCGTGCGCGCTAAAACTCCTGGCGTTATCAGCGCCGAACACGCGGCTCTTCGCGCGCCCAGAGGCCGGGCAGCGGGAGCTCTGAGACGGGGGAGGCTCCCTGCCTTGGGTCGATGCGGGGAGGGAGGGGTGGAGTGTGTGTATGTGTGAGTGTGTGTGTGGGGGTGGGTGGGGGGTGGGGGGGGAGCAGTCAGTGCACGAGCAGGCTGGGAGTGGAAGAATCAGACCGGATATGACCGTGGAACAGTTCAGTCCAAGCAGCAGACGCGCTCTTTTACGCGGACACATTTGCACCTGCTGGTCCACGACTGTGACCTTTGACCTGTGAAAGTTGAAGGCGTTTAAAGCCACAGGGAGATACAGAACACGGACTCTTTCGAGATTTTCTGGAATTTGTGCCTATTTGTAAAGGGTGTTCTTATTTTCTTTCCATTTTTGGCCGTTTTAAGGCTTTGATTATTAGAGGTGAAACGAGCTGATGATGTCTGAATGTGCTGGGCTTACTGGTTTTTATTTAATGCTGCATCTGTGCAAAGTTGAGTTAAACTGCACTGAGACAAATACCACCAATAAATAAACAAATTAATAAATAAACCATCAAAAATACTCTAAAGAGGGAACATTGTGACAACTCTCTGTCCCATGGAAACATTAAAGTTTTACCTTAGTATCTGAACAACACACACACACACACACACACACACACACACACACACACACACACACACACACACACACACACACACACACACACACACTTGATCTAAAGCTGATCCAACTGAATAAAGATGAACAAAATCGTTTATTAGTCTAAAATCATGATGCAGCTGTAATTAAATTAGCTTAATCTCTTATAACCTTAAATTAACCTAACATTTCAGAGGAACACACTCAAAGAGTGAAACATTTGTCTCCAGGGAGCTGAAAAAACGTTGTTCCACCAAAACAGCATCAAATACTCATGAAAAAAGAACAACCAGATCATTTTTAGCTTCATCGTCTAAATACCAAATATATTCCTTTCAATCAGCTAAAAGATTCTGTTTTACAAGAATCAGAGTTCTCCTCGTGTTCTGATGGCTCAGCGTTTTAACGTGTGCGTACTGTGTGTGTGCAGGTGTGGTTCCAGAACAGACGAGCTAAATGGAGGAAGAAGGAAAACACAAAGAAAGGGCCGGGGCGGCCTGCTCACAACTCCCACCCGACCACGTGCAGCGGCGAGCCCATGGACCCCGAGGAGATCGCACGAAGGGAGCGCGAGCGGGCGGAGAAGAAGAAGCGAAAGCAGGAGAGGAAGCTGATGAAGGCGCAAAGCAAACTTCTCACGGGCGAAAGTTTCCACACGCCCGGAGGCTCGGAGAGCGACAGCGGGGTGTCGCAGTTCACCGACAGCGAGCAGCAGCCGTCGACCCTCGGCGGGAGCATCGGAGGACACCAAACTGATTCCAGCTGCGACCAAACGCGGCACGACTTCAGTCAGCTCCAAAACCACCCAAACCAAAGAACCGTGGGAGAAGCAGAGCAGGTTTCTCCAGGCAGCACGCACAGCTCCAGCCCTGGAGGTCCCAGGTCGTCGGCCCTGCAGAAACGGAACCCTTTCAGCGTGGAGAGCCTGCTGTCCGACAACATGCCGCGACGGAAATCTTCTCTGGACTATTCCTCGCTGCCTAATCAGAGGACTCTGGTGGGTAAAGGCCACTTCCTGCTTTACCCCATCACCCATCAGCCTTTGGGCTTTCTAGTGCCCCAAACCGCCCTGAAGGCCATACCGTGTCAGGACAACAGCAGACTGCAGAGTCCAGGTGAAAGAAGCCCGACGACCTCTGACCTCTCCAGCTTCGGCAGCAACTGTTTGAACTCGAACCACACGCAGCATCACAACAATCACATGAGCAGAACAGAAGGAAGTGACGTGGAGGAAGGAGGTGGGGACTGCAGGGACGGAACGCTCCCTGGCTCTCCTCCACCGAACACTGTGGCAGCCTCGAGCACGCCGTGCAGCGAGGCGAGCGACGAGAGGCCTCAGAAAGTTCAGACGGAGGCAGGAGCCCATGGCTGCCAAGCTGCCGAGCAGCGCGCAAAAGCAAAGGATGCAAGAGAAGAGCGAGCTTCTCCAGTCGTCTCCATGTGTCTGCAGGCAAACACAGAGTGCCGAGAAACACCCGGAACAGACGGAGAGGACGTGGACATGGACTAACACTTTCGAGGAGCAAATATAAAAACAAATACCAGGAACAGCAGAAACATTCCCAAAGCTCAGACACTCGAAAACATATCAGGAATCAGGAGACTTGATCCTCATCTATTTTTTAAATCACGAACAATCAAAGCTGTGCCCGCCCCCTTTTCCTTTCCTTTTTTCAGGCTTTCTTTTTACCCTTTTAATAACAGGTTTCTCTCTTTTTTATTTTATTTTATTTTTGTGAACAACTTGTAACTTCAATAAAAAAACAAAACACAACTTAACAACAAAAATCCTCAGATATTGTAAAACAAAACGAGACAAACAAAAAAAAAAGGGATATTTATATGTACACATTTTGATAAATAAAGTTATTGTTTTAATTGAGACGCTGTCTTTCAGGGGGCTAATTTTGGGGGTTAGTGCGGATCATGACAGCAGGAGTTTGGTCATGTTTCAGCAGAAACACCCCCCCTCTCTGTGTGTGTATGAGCCTGAGCTGGGGGCTCAAGTCCGCCTGGCTGTTTGTATTTATTGCTTTAACAAATTTATTCATTTGAAAAGGCCGAGCTGGAATGAGGTTAGTGGCCGCGGGCTGTAGGACCCTGCGCCTCCTGCTGAGTTTTGATATGAAAGTAATTATTTTCCCACTGGCTGCCGCGGGTCTCCAGGCAATTTTTTTCTCCTCCTCCTCCTCCTCCTTCTTCTTCTTCTTCTTTCCCCTCCTTCCTTCCAGCCCAAAGGGTTATTAGACATTACCGATTTCTAGTGATATGGAATCACATAAACTTCCTACAATAATAGAATTAGCATGAAAGGCAGGGGTGTCAAATTGAAATGGGAAAATAATAGCCGCGCCAGCTGCACCGGCCGTGTGTGTTTGACGCGCGCGGCCGCTGTGCGTGAGGGCGCATAGTGTATTGAGGAAGAGGAGGAGGAGGAGATGGTGGGAGATTCGTGAGGCGGAATTTTCATGAGCTGCCGGCTGTCAGACGGCCCTTGTAGCCGGCTATATTAAGATAGATGCTCGATGATATCCCTCATTGTTCTGTCGCTTATATTGATGTTGCCGTGTTATCGCCCTATTGATCATGTGTCGCACATAATAGGACAGGCGCGCGCCCGCCCGCCCGCCTGCGCCTTGTATTCTTTTTCTTTCTTGTGGGCCTCTCGTCATTTGTTCTAATAGGACTGAGATTCCCTCTGGGGGGGTGGTTGGGGGTGATAAAGATAAAGAAGAGAGGAGGAAAAAGGAGCGCACTGATGCGCGTTAATGTATTTTTTGATCAATTGTTTGTTTTTAGATGCAAAGGAGGGACTATTAAAGAGCCCCCATGCCTGTTTGAAAAAAAAAAAATTAATACACATCTATGCGCTCCTTCTTCCTCCTCTCTTCTTTATCTTTATCACCCCCTACCTTTATCACACACAA